AGGTAAAGTGGATTGATGGGGGTCCTTCTGAGTCGTTTCTGAATCATGATGTTGTCATAGACATGGCTGGAGTAGCCCAATTCTTCGATCCAACGCCGGGTAATGGCCCCGGCATCTCAATTTTCAAATTCCATTCCTAGGCCAATTGGATTTTTCTAGTAGGTCCAAGGATTCCTAGTCTTAGTTTCACGAAATTCTTGATGAGTTTTCCGAATGTACTCGTTAAGGGACGCTGGGCCCAGTTCCCAGTCCGTGCCGATTTGTGAGGATATGGTTGTCGCTGGACCCGGTTTCCAGCAGGTGTTGCTCCCCACCAATAGACGGAGCTTTGTTTAAAAAAAAAAAAAAAAAAAAAGACCATGACCAATGACAAGAGACCGAAAAGTAGTACGCAGGTGATGCAGGGAGCAGCACTGCAGGATCCAGCTTATCCTGAATGACCTAGTATATCATCTTGCCCGCAGGCAGACTAATGCGAAGAGGGGAGAGGGGTGGCATAATTGCCCAAGTACTCGTCATCAAGCACTTGATATTTGAACTGAGTCTCACACTTGGCCCGCGAAAGTGTCTCGAAAAAGCGGCGAAGATGTTCCGAATGTTCGTTAGTTTCAGAGTCAGACTGTGGACCAAAAATTATAGCATCCGAGTAGAGACGGGCGGGTCCAACACCAAACAAAACTCGTTCGTCATCGAGAGGCGTAGCCCGAAAAGTCGTCGGGACATTCGCGAGCCTCAGGCGGCTGAATGGCATCACAACCCACTCAAAAAGCCCGCACGTTGTCTTCGACGTGGATTTGTAACAATCTTGCAGGTGGATCTGATGCTGATGGTAGCCGCACTACACCTGCACCTGCAACTACATCACCCTCAGCCGCACTTGCGGTCGAGGGGGATTGCGCAGTGACGCCACTTCCCCTTGAAGCTGTTTCAGAGATGTGCGTGCTGCTTCAGAATGAGATGTGCGGTCGTTGACAGCAAAAGGGTACCCCACTAGATCACATCACTGCGACTTGTGGCCTTTTCTCCAAGGCACATACGTGGTCGAACAGGCGATCACCGTGTGCACTAAGTTTCTGCACGTCAGTTTGGAGATGAAGTAGCTGAAAGCATCGTCAGGTCAAGCATTGGCTTATTGCAAATCACACATAGTTGCCACCCGTGAGGCACTGTTGAACAAAAAAACTGAAGTCCACAACCATACATGTGTCTCGGAGCATTGGCCTTGGTGCTCTATGTGTTGGCGTCGTCTCGGCTAGTGTGCTCCCCCGTAAGAACGCAGTCACACAAGCGCCAATACTAGCCTTGTGTGCAGCTGCAGCCACTTCTTGCTGTTGCTTGCTGGCTTCTTCGTGCGCCACGTGCTTCTTTTTTTCTTTTTTCTTTTCATAAGAGTCCATGGTGTTGTAGAGGCCAGTCACTGAGTACACAGTGATCACCTGGAGCATGTGCTTCTTTTCTCCTTCTCTATGACCGTTTCCTCCTTCCTCTCCCATCTCCCTCTCCCATAACTACTTCTCCTTGGCATGCTGTAAAACCTGTACCTGCTTCTGCGACTTCTTCAATAGGAGCCTGCAGGTGGGCAAAGTGTGCCTCCACGCACCACAATGACTGGGTACTAGGGAGTGGACACTGCACAGGGATGCTCATGTTTCCCACTGGCACCCACTCCTTCAGGTGGTTCCTGTGAAACCTGTATCAGCTTCTGTGCCGTTTCAATAAGAACTCTGCAGGTGGGCAAAAAAAGTGTGCCTCAACACACAAGGCCAAGCTTGCATTCCATCTCCCTACGGTAGCCACACTGCGGCATGACTGCGCACCATTGCTGATTTGCGACCTACTGGTGATGTGGCACGGCGGAGGCCGCACCTAGTACTGCTGACATGGCATGACTGACATGACACCTACTGTGGATGTGGCAGGAATGACACGGCACTCAACGGTTGATGTGGCATGACGATGTGGCACCCCAGCAGCTGCTGCTGACGCGGTACTGCTGACATGCACCCGACTGCTGATGTGGGATGACTAATGTGGCACCCGACTGACTACTGATGTCGCGTTCAACTGCTGACATGGCACATAACTGCTGACGTGGCACTTCTGTGTCACTGGTGATGTGGCACCTTACCAATGCCTGGCATGCATGAGAAATTTTGGAGACAAGGAGGAAGATGGATATGGCAGAGGAAGAGAGATGATGACAATGGGGGAGAGACGGCAGGGAGAAATTGTGAAATCCCCCCCAACCCCAAATGGGGTAAAAAAAAATGCACCACAATGACGAACGACTAAAGGGGAGTACTCAATTGCCAAAAACTTGAAGGTAATTTTAAATTTCGGATTCTAGAGGAGCAGCGAAAAAATAACAATATTGAATATTGCGGCACAAGCGCCCTCCCAACAGGGGAGTACTCTCTCGCATTATAAACGACCTGAGACACATCATCTATCTCGACTGGAGTCAGAGACTTGGTAAGTCCTCAAATTTGCGAGCAGGGGTACACTGGCTCTGTCAACATTGGGCCTCCTGCCCTTCCCTTGTCAGCGTTGATTCCTGTACTACAGGGGATTTCAGATTCAGCCCATTTCTGCAGCCTTTGTAACTGTGGCACGTGTTTCCTCCGCTTCTGCACATCCTTTTCGTAAATTTTCTGCTCTCAGTTTTCCAATTTGTAGGCATGTTGCCTAATATTTGGTAGTCGTTACTACTTAGTACTCACCAAAAAGGCTTAATGACTGTGATAGTATAGGATTACTTGGTGTTGTTCTTTCCCTCCACTGCTGCTCTCTATTTCTTGTTCCTCCACTGTCTTACAGTAGTTTAGCCTTTACTCAATGCATTGGTTCGCTTTCTTTTTTTTTTTTTTATAGAAAAAACCAACCCCTTCCAGTGTTAGTGGTGCTGATAAGAGCAGACGCCACTAACACCTAAGGGGGGGGCTCCATCTATTCGTGGGAAGCGTCACCTGCTGGAAAGCGGGTCCAGCATCCCTTTTACAGTCTGAAATTGAATACATCAAGGAGACAATTGTGGCGTATCCCTGCCAGGCTGCCAGCATTGATTACCCTGGAATCAGGGGATTGACTGAGCAGGATGTGAGGGGGTGAGAAAGGGGAACCTCTTCACCCT